TTAATGTTTCAAATAAACGTCAACACCAATCCAGATATCCGTCAAGTTGTCTTATCAATCTTTACACTGTCCTATAAAGCAAAGGCAAATGTGCATCAAAGTCAACGTCCGAACACGGCAAGCGAAGAAATTGAACTCCCCCTATTGTAGTTCCCTCTACATCCACCAGATGGCACACTCAGGGGCTTCCCCCTCACGATGTGCACTTACTCCAACCACATGTGGCGCTGTTCAGCCGATAGCTGAAGATCGAACACAGAACTACCAAAGAGGAAGTGCCTCACACCTCAGCACATGGATCGTAAAAGGCCGTGTGCCGGCGTAGCAAAGAACAATGGGCTCAAGCTAACTGCTAACCCACAACGTGGTCAAGCTATCAGCACCCCGCAAGCCCCGCTATTTCCCCAGTGGAATTACCAATGAGACCCCGTTAGCCGCTAGCAAGGCAGCCCACGTGGTCCGGGTTGGACTACTCACCAACACCTTAATATGCTACGGTTTTACAACCCGACGCCGGAGATGATCAGTCTCCAGTTCGGATTCTATACATATATATACACTGTTAAACAATCACATACGCGTAGTAAAACATAATTTGGAACATCCATACATCAATCAAGCACATGCACCCCGCAACTCAAACACTCACGCACCACGTACTAACACTCACTCACACTCACACCAGCATTCAGATGTATATACACTATCATTTACACTAAAGCGCATATCCGCCACCCACCCCCTTCTAGACAACCTATATACCTAATTCATAGGATTTCTAGAGGGTGGAAAATGTTAAGCAGATCTTACCAGTCGATGCTGGATTTCTCCTTTACTATAACCTCCACCAGTCGCCGCTGGATTATAACTTTACCAGTCGATGCTGGATTATCACTTTACCAGTCGATGCTGGATTATCACTTTACCAGTCGATGCTGGATTATCACTTTACCAGTCGATGCTGGATTATCCCGTATGCCAATCCCGTAGAGCAAGCTCCCCCCCCCCAATCTATTAAATCCTGCAATACCTAATTGTGAAGGACTTTATGCACAGAGAGGGGAAATGAAGAGAAGAGTCTTCTCTAAAGACGCCGTAATTATTGTGGGAAACCTAGTGGACAACATGCGCATCGTCACACCTCATGCGAACCCCCTAACCAATCCCATACGGGTCTACTTGTATGATTTTATCCTGCTGGTCTTTATGTCTCAGCAGACCAGTTCGCCGCCTGGATTTTTCTAACGCTCTAAGTGTGTACCTGAACGCACCAAACGCGCGTGTTTGGAATTTCTAAAAGCCGGCTCCCATTCGCATTCACTTTGCAAAAGTATGTCCCCACTGTTATTCAATATCAGCTTATTATATTCACCCAAGTCATCAATGCACTAGCCTTTAGTCTTTAGCATCTAAGGCCTTGCCTCATGGCCGACTGCCAGCACCACTCTAAATCTTCCTAAACCTACCTATCACAGAATTCATGAAAAAGGTTGTTTTACCTTGTTTGTACCCGTGGTACCTGCAGTCAAACCTCTCAGCAACGCCTTCCCCCAACGAGAGCCCCACGTTGGGCGCCAACTGTTAAGGTTTCGGAAGCTCTCGAGGGAGGACTCAATCCTTTGTTCTCGTCCCGGCCGGAAACGAGGACACGAATGAGTCAATTCGTTTAAATTCAAAAATCAAAAGTTATTTAATAACTGAACAACGTAATAGGGATTACAATTACAAAGTGAAATACTAAGCGAACAGTGGAATATTTCGCGAAATAGAGAATTCTCTGAGCAAGTCTAAAGTGACTTATCAACGCGGCTGCAGGAGAAGATCTAACAGTCTTTTCCCCGCCATGGTCCTTTGAAACCTCTTGAGGTGTGTCTTCTTTGGTGCATTTGAATGTCATTGGCCTCTTCTCCAAAGGGTCACCTCCTCCATTGTCCCTTCCACGTCGAGGTGTGAAGCTGCAGCCGTAACCTGAAACCTCTCTGACCTAGCTGTCCCTCACATTCCAATGCACTCAATACAGATAAAGTGGCTTTATGCCTCAATGAGTGAACCCAACAAAGCATACATCGTTTAAGTCTTCATCTTATAATAGTACACTTTCATTACAACAACCCATCACTAATGATCACCGTTCATCACACTTCATCATAAGATCTAAAACAGTTCATGTGGTTCAATTCTCAAGACATTTGCCTCAGTCGGCTGCCTTGAAATAAGTTGTTCATTTATTACCTGACAGGAGAAAAAACTCCCAAAAAACCCTTTTTGGGGATAAAATTGGGAGAAATCCATAAAGAACGGCAATTGGCATCCGTCCCCAGGTTTTAACATCACATTGTAACAGAATGTAAATGTGTAGTGTGTTTCTACGTTTTAAAAGACTATATACTGTGTTTGATTCACATTGTATTCACTTCATCTAACATGTTAATGTAATAACTAATCTAACATCACACAAACTATAATTCTATCACTAAACATTATTACACGTACTATAATTTCCTGACTAGGGGTGCACTTCTGGCTTAAATCCCTAACATTTGCAGTTATTTATAAAAACTTTGCAAAAAAACAGGGCGTGATCAGTAAAACCCACAGGCACCATCCTGCACACTTTGTAGATGTTAAAATGGTGTCTAAAACAATAAAACCTGTCCAGCCTGGCTAAGGAAATGACACTCCCTCTGGAGTGGGCCCAAGTATACTGCCTCTCGTTCCCGTTCAAACGCCTCCACACATCCACGACCTCGTGTTCTACTATCAGCTGCTTCAGAGCTCGCTGTGACGGACCATGAGGCTCTATGTGGTTCCTGTCTAAAAGATCATTTTCCGTGGAGTTAAAATCCCCTCCTAAAAATAGAAACGCTTCATCACTCACACTGCCCAAAACAGTGCTTAAAGCATGTAAAAAAAACACTCGATCAGGTCCTGAAACAGGAGCATAGACATTCACAAAAACGCAGGTAATGTGTTCAAACGTTTCACCACCAACAGTCTTCCCTCCACCACATGCTTTACCTCCATTGACTGTGGCATCAAGGTTTTTGAAAAGAGGACACCCACCCCCCCACTGGTTGTGGTGTTGTGACTAAGCACAATGTCGCCCCCCTTTCCCTTTTCCAGTCTGTCTCATTGGACTTGTCGCTGTGCGTTTCTTGTAAGAACAAGACATCGATGTCTTTAACTTTCATCAACTGATACAGCAAGGACCTTTTCATTGCATCCCTGGCCCCGTTGATGTTTAATGTGCTAATGTTGATGTGGCTCATGATTATTGAGATAAAAAATAAACATAGCAAGATCTTCGAGCTATAGGGCGGCACGGTGGCGTGGTGGTTAGCACTGTTGCCTCACAGCAAGAAGGTCCTGGGTTCGATTCTGCCCAGTGGCCTTTCTGTGTGGAGTCTGCATGTTCTCCCCGTGTCTGCGTGGGTTCTCTCCGGGTTCTCTGGCTTTCTCCCACAGTCCAAAGACATGCTCTGGGGATCAGGTTAATTGGGGACTTTAAATTGCCCGTAGATGTGTGAGTGTGAATGGTTGTATGTCTCTGTGTAGCCCTGCGATTGGCTGGCGACCAGTCCAGTCTATCGCCCGAAGTTGGCTGGGATGGACTCCAGCCCCCCCGCAACCATGTGTGCAGGATAAGCGGTTTGACAATGGATGGATGGATGGAAGATCTTCGAGCTGCCGTTGCGCTTCCATTCTGCATCATTCATCAGTGACTTCTTCATCAACATTGAGATCATTATTGATTTTCTGTACTATTTTCCTCAGCCGGTATACTTCCTGATTTATTAGGCCTCCTCTATCCTTACTGCTCATATGCATCCGAACAAACTTAGCGAACCTCTCTTCATCGGAGAAGTAATCCTCTACCTTAACTCCCTTCATGTTTTTCGTTTTTTGTAGAAACACTTTAATCTTCCTCACACTGTATTTTCTGGCGCTACTCTGACTACCAGCCTTGAAGTCAGAGGACTGACTGTCAGCACAGTCTACCTCCATGTCAGACCCAGACCTTGCTTCTTCGCTCCCTTTCCTCATGTTTGCAGCTCCTTTCTTCGCCTGTGAGCTCCCATTTTTACTCTTCGTTTTCCTTTTCCGGCGAGGGATTTTGAGTGCTCCTTCATCTCCCTCCATGTCTATGTCGCTTTCCATCACCGTACCTGTCTCCTCCTCTCCTCCAGCACTCCCCTGACTCCTCGCCTGACCCTCCTCAGCTCCTTCTATGCTCACCTGGCTGGCCACCCCTGTCTCCTCTTGCCCCCCCCCCCACCCAAATTGAGATCCTTGTCTCTGTCATTTAATATCATGCGAAGTGTTCTTATGTGTGATACCACATGCCTCAGGAGAGGGGATTTGCACCCCGAAGGCACTTTCCTGATCTGAGACATAATCTTTCCGTGCCTCTCCAGCTCCTTAATCAGCGTCTCGTCTCTGATAAACGGAGGAACGTTAGACAGCGTGACTCTGGTCGCTGGTGTGGTGAGAGGAAGGACGGGCACCAGCGTGTCGTCTACCACGATCCCCTTCTCTACCACCACGTTGGCTTTCTCAACGCTCTCTAGAAAAATCACCACCGCGTTATTCATACGGGCGGCGGACCACTCTCCCCACGGCCAAGCCGCATTCCTCCACCGAGCACGAAAAACCCGGTGCGATCCTGACGCCGTGTTTCCTCGCCAGGCGGGTCAGTTTCATAGTGGCGTTCAGCATGCCGACCAGCGACAGCTGATCGGCTGCAAAGAAACGCACACTTTAGGAAAACAAGCCCCCGAACAAGTCCACTCAACCACTAACACACGTATGCGCTACAATCCTATGTCTATATCACATCCAACAGTGGAAAAAATACGCTCGAAACAAACCTATACCGCTCTCAGCAACACGCTTTGCTCGCGCAAACCTCCTTCACTCAGAGAGAGAGAGAGAGAGAGAGAGAGAGAGAGAGAGAGAGAGAGAGAGAGAGAGGGGGGGATGGGGGGGGAGCTCAAGCTGTGCCGTTCAGTGCAAGAAACAGCTTGATGCGCAAACGTTTACGCAAAGTACTGGACTCCCACTCTGGCTACGTCAACAGTACAGGACACATCTTTTAATCGGTCCAAAACTTTTGAGTAAAATGTGGACAGTTCCGAAGCCAAAATACAGAACAGGTTCTTGCGGCGAGGGGGAGATTGCTGTGAACATCGGCGGAGTCCGGGTGGTGCTGTACGGGGACGTCTTGAGCCGATACCCGGACAGCAGACTGGCGGAGTTGTTGAACTGCTCCCCTGGGAATCACGAAGGCATCTCCTCGCTTTGCGACGACTTCGACCCGGGCAGAAACGAGTTTTACTTCGACCGAGATCCCGATGCCTTCAAGTGCATCATCGACGTTTACTACTTCAATGAAATCCACATCAAACCCGGTATTTGCCCCATCTGTTTCATCAAGGAGATGGAGTTCTGGAAAATAGACCAGTCTGTGTTGGACGAGTGCTGTAAAAGCTACCTGAGCGAAAAGGAGGAGGAGCTGACGGAGATCGCAAACAAAGTAAAAGTGATTCTGGAGGACCTGGAGCCCGATCGCTGCGTTACGTGCACCCAGAGGTGCCAGAGGTTCCTGTGGAGGCTGATGGAGAAGCCGGGTTCCTCGCGGTCGGCACGCGTCATTGCCATCGCGTCTTTCCTCTCGGTCCTGGTCTCGGCAGTGGTGATGTGCGTGGGGACCATCCCAGAGCTGCAGGTGGCGGACGCCGAGGGGATGCTGGTGGAGCACCCGACCCTGGAGGCGATCGAGACCGCCTGCATGTCGTGGTTCACCGCGGAGTACCTGCTGCGTCTCGCCTCCTCTCCGCACAAGCTGCACTTCGTACTCTCCTTCATGAACGTCGTAGACTTCATGGCCATCGTGCCTTTCTACGTGGTCCTGTCCCTCACCTATTTCGGCACCTCGTCCATGATGGAGTTGACCAACGTGCAGCAGGCTGTCCAGGCGCTGCGCATCATGCGCATCGCGCGTATTTTCAAGCTGGCGCGCCACTCCGCTGGGCTGCAGACCCTGACCTTCGCGCTAAAGAGGAGCCTGAAAGAGCTGGGCTTGCTCCTCTTGTACATGAGCGTGGGGATCTTTTTGTTCTCGGCGTTGGCCTACACCCTGGAGCAAAGCCACCCAGAGACGCTCTTCAGGAGCATCCCGCAGTCTTTCTGGTGGGCCATTATCACCATGACCACAGTGGGCTACGGGGACATTTACCCAAAGACCACGCTCGGCAAATGCAACGCGGCTGTGAGCTTCCTGTGCGGGGTGATTGCCATCGCCTTGCCTATCCACCCCATCATAAACAACTTCGTGGTGTATTACAACAAGCAGAAAGTGCTGGAGACAGCAGCGAAGCACGAGGTGGAGCTGATGGAGCTGAAGTCGGGCCGGGACGTGCGCAGGAAAAGCAGAGATTGAGGGAAGATTATACATTTGAAATTGGGACAATGATACATTTTCTATTAATGTTTGTATTACATATAATATATGGGGCGCCGTTTGTAAAATGTCGCCGGTTCTAAAATCCTGCGCAGTTTTGCTACGTTTAGCATTATCATATGAACAAAAAAGCACGACAATATTCATATGTCATTTTTTCAAACATTTAGAGAGAAATTCATGTAATTTCATGCAATAACCTTTCCAAGGATAATGTTTAATTATTTAACACGACGTTGTTAAATAATATAAATGTCAAATGTAAATGCAAATGTTATATCTAAATGTTAAATGTAAATCGAAATGTAAATGTTATATCTAAATGTTAAATGTAAATGTTAAATGTAAATGTTAAATATAGATCCAAATAGTCTCTCTACATATCAGACTTGACGACTGAACATTACAATATTTACAGTAATTCACGCCGCGGCAAGACAAGCTGGCAAATCCGGATGAATTAGCTCTTGTTATAGAGCAGGGGTGTCAAACTCATTTTAGGTAGGGGGCCACATACTGTCCACGTTGAAGTCATGCTGGGGTTCATGGGCGTGGAACGTTGCGCAACCCCTCCTTGACCGGACCATCGCCGAGGATGTGACCGCGCGCCCGTGTGAGTGTGAATGGTTGTATGTCTCTGTGTTAGCCCTGCGACTGGCTGGCGACCAATCCAGGGTGTACCCCGTCTCTCGCCCGAAGTTGGCTGGGATAGACTCCAGCCCCCCCCCCCTCCCCCGCGACCCTGTGTGCAGGATAAGCGGTTTGACGATGGATGGATGGATGGATGGATTTAGATTTAATATTTAGATATAACATTTACATTTAGATTGAACATTTAGAGTTATATTTGACATTATGCTTGGAAAAGTTTTTTGCATGAATTTACATCAATTTCTCTCTAAATGTTTGAAAAAGTCACATATGAATATTGTCATGCTTTTTTGTTCATATGATAATACAAAATGTAGCAAAACTGCGCAGGATTTTAGAACCAGCAACATTTTACAAACGGCGCCCCATAATAATACATGCCATATTGGGACAGCTCCATGCAAGGACACGTGCACATAAGTTGTCCTTAGCTTTGTTGTTTCTGTTAATTGTGCCATGCGCTGCTTATTCCGGAGTGCTGTTATTTTGTCCACGTCTGGTGTGATGGCGGTTGTCAATATTAAATTAAAAGTTCATGCATGGACACACTTGTGCACAGAGAATCATATTTAACATTGAGTCACATGCTGGTACAAGGTTTCCTGATTTTAACAATCGTTTGGGCAGAAGTCTTAAGGGACTTAGAATGGACCATGATGCATAGGCGCTATTGTTTGACAGATGTATTTAATATGGGCTAAAATATGAGGAGAGATCAAATAAGATAATCCTTTATTAGTACCATAGCGGGTACCACGGTTACAGTAGAAACAAGAGTATTATAAGCAGTAATAAAAACAACTTAGCGTTTATAATTTGATTGTGCACAGTTTGAGAGAGATCATTAATTCGCTCGGGACCACGAACAGGCCTATAAGCAAAGGGTCTCCTCTGGCAGTCACCTGAGGTGTACCAGTTTCAAAACGACTACTTTAAATTTGTATTCAGAAAAAGACTCATACTACCACAAATGTGACTACAAAGTACCAAAAGAAAGACATAAAATGTCTTTTCTTTTAAAAACTTTCTTTTCTTGTCTTTCTTTTCTTTTCATAAAACACCAGCAAAGGAACAGAACAGATATGAAACGCTGCAAAGCCACAATGAGACAAAGAATGACTACAATTAAACTAAAGTGACTCAAATGACCAAAAATAAATATTAAATAACTACAAAGAGATGCAAATAATAACAAAGGGACACAAAACAAAAGTCAACATACCGAGTCAGTGAGATCCCAAATGAACCAATATTGTATTTCAAAATGTTCGCTTATGTTCATTCATTCATATCATTATGCATTACGTCATTAAGTATCTATTTTTCATGAAAAGAAACTTACTTAGTTTGGGATGAGGTTGACTGAAGACATGTGGGAAGGTGTACTTTTTGTTGAAAGGCGTATACTTCAGTGTTGAAAGAAAACGTCATTGAAATAGAAATGTACTCGCATGATAAAAGCTTGACATTGCATGTCACAAATAGAAATGACATATAAGGATACTATAGTTACATAACAGTTAATCATAACCTCATCATATGTTTGGTGTTTCATAACTTAAAATAACTGGGCATTAAAACTGCAAAATGAATAGAGAGTAAGTATTGCTTCAAAATTTTAATTGTACCTGAGTAAATGTTCCACTGGATAAAAATTGAATTTCCATTTTTAAAGACTCCCCGGCGTTTAAAGAAGAATTTCTTCCTGCTCCCTGAGCTGCCTCTCCAATGTGCCACAGTCTGTGTTGTATTGTATCCTCCTATATCTAGTGACAATCCCTGTTGACCCAGCGGAACGTGTCCGTGTAGGGAAACACATCTGGGAAGCGGTCCTGTGCATTGCGTCGGATCGGAGGCGGCGGTCTGTGAGCAACGGGCGTCAACGCAGTGGGAACACTGTGTAGGCCGCACACGCCCACATACTCAGAAATGCTCCCCTCCCTCGCTGTCTCTCCTCCACCCAACACCCCACCCGCTGCCTCCCTCACACCTCCAGCTCACATACAATGAGCTGTCAGCTCCAATGGCTGACCGAGTGTTTTCAGGGTGCAGATGCACAGAACTTGGCACTCTGAAAAAGGGGATAAGAGAGGGTTCATCGACACCGAAATGACAAGATGAAAGATTTACATGAGGATGAAGCTATGTTGACCGACATTGACTTTGACCAAACACAGCACTCAATATGTTATGCATCAGCGGCCATTGATGACTCTGCTCCGCTGCTGCTCCAGTCACCAGTTGATTTTGAATGTTGCTGATCGCAGTGCGAAGCAACCTAAAAAAGGGGCGTGAACACCTATACTGCTTTTGCACAAGGTCTCTCTCTGGGTGGTGACTTTCAACTACACCAATCAAGGGCGTAGGAACCTCCGCATTAGTATATCCCACAGTGCTTTGATGCTTCAGGAAAGGTCTCCCACGATCCTAGATCATCAGAGAGCACATGGGTCCGGAGGAGGATTCAACGGTGAATAGGTTTTCGATTGATAAATGGTCTAATGCCAATAATTAAATCTTTCTTTTAATGAGTTCCCACTGGTCGAATAGCAGCTGTGTAGGCATGTGCAGGGGAAGGTAAGCGAAAAGGAGGAGTATCTATTAGTGGCAATAAGGGATGGAAAACAAGCAAAGCATTGGATTGATAATGTGGATATTGTTCTCACATCATTGGCTGCTTACATAAACTTGGCATTTAGAGAATATGATTGAACAACACATGCTTTTGTTAAAATTAATATATTTAGTTGATTTGAAATGGAGGGAACCAGAGGAAATAAACAGGTACCTTTTGAAAAAGGAGTTAAAACCATGAATGAGATGCTAATGCAGTTAAATCTTACTAAGGGGCCACTACCTGGTAGTCACCTGGGAGACCCAGAACACCTTGTGCTCAGGGCCCCAAAAATACATGTCATGGGAAAGTCCAGGGACTCGAGAGAACTCAAACGCAGACTTGCAGATTTCCAAAAAACAAAAATGCTTGATTTAGGTAGTAGAAAAAAAGCTAGGGGCGAACGGCAATGGAGAGACAAGGAAAACCAAACCAACTATCGACCGGACAGGTGATTTGACACAGGAGGAAACAATCAGTGACACGGCAGACAATCCAACTCACTGGGGAAAATAGATCAGGGCAGGAAATGAAGTTCACCTAGGGACACGAGAGGCAGGAAAGTACAAAATAAAACAGGGACTGAACCCACACCATGACACTATCCTATCACGTTTTTTTGGGGTCGACTTTCTGACAATTCAAAATCACAGGAAGACATTACTGCTTGGCGGACGCTTCCAGATAGAGGATTTTTACCTTTAGGGGAATAAATAAAGGACATATTATGCAATTTGAAAATGTGTGTTTGCTACAGATGGCAGTGCAAACTGCATGACATGCATTTAAACATGCATTTAAACCATCTGTCAGTGGTTAAACCAGAACATAAAAAGATTGTACCCTTCATGCATAGCATCATATCCCACTCTGATTTTCTTTCCCTCTTAAAAAAAAGAAATGTCCCTCACCAGCCTCTGTTGTCATGGCTCCAGTCTTTAAATAACTGTCTCGCTCTCATTATTCTGCTTCTGCTTCGAAAATGCCTTTTCCTTTTAGGTTGGACTCCCACATCGAATGCACTCCGCTCCGTTCATTGTAATATGTTTAATAGGGCAACAGGGTGTCTCTTTTCAAATCGGATGCACGTCAGAGGAATGAATCATTAGATCTTTTGAGGTCATTCAGGGTTGGACATGAGAAATGGAGTTAAATGACTTGAAATCCGATTAAGGCCTCATGTAATAAGATTCCATCCACTTGGCTGTGTATCAAGCTTGATTACAAGATGCAGAACAAACACCCATTTCACGCTTGCATTCAAATTCTCATAATGTAAATGACTGAGTCAGTGCAACACTGTCATGGTTAATGAGCAAGCACAGTATCTGGTGTGGTGCGGTTTTGCATGTAAAATGTGTATCTGTTACATTTCATAAGCTCTTTTATGGCATGCAATACATGCCTCGATATTTTACACCTGGCGCGGAAGACTAAGTGTTGAAAAACTAAAATGTGTTAAAAAAGTGAGAATGCGATAAAACAATGTCCTCAGCTGTCTCTTATTGCTTGATGCTTGTTTCATGAAGTCCAACAGCTGTTGAGCTGCAACGTGTCTTCATGAAAGGGTTGTATAATATCTTAAAAATAACCCTAAGTCTTGACGGGGAAACAAATCTGTCAACAAAGTCAGCAACCTAGTTAGGGTTAGGAAGAGATTGTGATATGGGTTAAAATAACCATGAAGCGACGTTGCTGAACAAATAAATCAGTGTGGACTCCTGGTGTCACATGAGGAATTTTTATTTTTTTTAATCTTTATTTCAGACGCCAAGTTCCATATAAAATAACAAGACGTTGAAAGACGTTTGATGAGCTAATCCTCCTCCACCCTCCCGCATCAATGGAGCT